CCCATTATAATAATTTATTTCATCAGAGCCCTTTTAAAGGACTCTGGATCATCAGATAGCACTTCCAAAAAATGAAACGAAACGATATGAAATGAAAATTCATTGATGGGTAGGGTAAGTTTTGTAATTTAGAAGAGGGGATAATGAGGAGTGGTTTGAGAGACATGGTGAATTTAGAGAGGGTCTATTTAATATTTCTTTCAATCATACTTACTATTGGGGAGGAGGGACCAGACCATGACTAATTTAATCGACCTGTTAATGACCTATATATATATATATATATATATATATATATATATATAGTAGTATACATTTTACCTCTGTTATTTTTTTATTTGAGTGCTGAAGTTTCTCTCTCTCTCTACATATATACACATACATACATTACATACATACATATATATATATATATATATATATATATATATATATATATATATATATATATATATATATATATATATATAAAAGTAATATATATATATTCAGCTCTTTTTTTGAGGATCAGTTTAATATCCTATGTTATTAGGATTCATTTGGATTATTTACCAACGGATTATTACCTATATATATATATATATAAATATATATATATATATATATATATATATATATATATATATATATATATATATATATATATATAAAGCTAAAGCTTTGCAGAAGGCTGCTGACAGATGTGACTTCAAATCATTTCCAGCGGTCTCTCACCAATTTTTTCTTCAGATAACACTCTTTTGACAGACAAAACCCACATTATCAATCGCTGGGAAGAACACTTCATGGTCCTAAAACAGGATTCATCTGATGCTGAATTTATAAACAATCTTCCTTAGAGACCTGTTGTACAAAGTCCTTCTGCTAATCCTTCAATCCGTGGTCAAAAAAAAATCATCAGCTTTCGAATGGAAAAGCTCCCGGCGAAGATGGAATTCCACTTGGAATAATCAAATGTGACACCAATCTTTTGATACACAAAATTTGTGAATTTTTCTACCTTGGGTAAGTGCCAGAGCAATATACGGATGCTTCAATTGTCCATTTGTATAAGCGATAAGGAAACAGGTGTGAATGTTACAAGCATAAATTCATTCGGTTGCTGACAAAATCATTGCCCGTATCATCCTGAATAGGCTTAATGAATTTGTCTCAAAATCAGCATTATCAGAGACCCAGTGCTGTTTTCTATCCCGTAGAGGAACTGTGAATATGATCTTTCGTCCCCGACAGGCTCAGGAGAAAGCAAGAGAACAAAACAAGAATCTGTTTTCGTAGACTTCAGAAAGGCTTTCGATACTGTATCTCGAACTGCTCTTTGGTAAGTCTTGTCAAAATTAGATATTCCAGAAAAAAATGCTCCATATAATTATTTCCTTTCGCGAAAGAATGAAAGCTTTTGTAAGGTCAGGAAGTGAGTAATTTTCGTCTCCAACGGGACAAAGCAAGGTTGCGTTCTTGCTCCTCTTCTCTTTACACTTTGCTTGAAAAAGAATTATCTAAATTAAGTGAAGCAGTCAATTTTGAATTCACAATAAATGGAGGTCTATACATTCAGCAATGTTTTAAAGCAAAATCGAAACTTGGTCTGAAGCTGGTACACGATCTTCTCTTTGCAGATAATAATGCTCTATTAGCATACAATCTAGAAGACATTCAAATTATCCTTGATAAATTCTCTGAAACAGCGAAAGTATTTGGACTCACAATCAACATAAAGAAGACTGAGCTAATGTACCAGCCAGTACCAGGCAATCCATCTCTCACTAATCCTTCCATCTTCATTGATGGTACGGTAGTAAAAACTGTTGAGGCCTTCACATATCTTTGATCAACAATCTCTTCTGATGGATAAATGGACAGAGAAATCCAATCCAGAATAGCCAAAGCCAGCACAGCATTTGGTAAACTTAAGCATAGGTTATGAAACACCAAAGACGTGTTTCTCAGAGTAAAGATCGATATATACAGATCAGTCGTTCTCTAAACCCTTCTCTATGGTGCTGAAACTTTGAACCTATACCGCCAACACATAAATCAACTTGACACCTTTCACATACGCTGTCTTCGTGCCAGATGTGATATAAAATGGGATGACAGGTTTAAAAATAGTGCAATACTGAAGAACTCTAACAACTTCACAGGCATTGAAACCATTCTAGCAAAAATAGGACTTAGGTGGGCTGGTTATGTTGCGAGAAGAGATGAACATAGACTCCCCCCCAAAAGTTGATGTATGGATAACTATCAAACGCCAAATGTTCAGTTCGATGTCTATTCTTATGTTACAAAGACGAATTAAAAGACAATTTGAAACGTCTCAACTTTGATCTGAAAACTTGGGAATCCCAAGCATCAATCCGGGAGTAGTGGCGTAAGACATGTTTCATTAAGCTAAAGGATTTTGAAGACAGTAAATTGAAGCACCGTCATCAACTTCGTCAAGCTCTGAAGCAGAGACGCCATCAAAATCCAGCTGTAACAAATTTCATCTGTCAATGCGGCTTTGTCGCCCGCAGCAAGGCTTGGCTAGTTACGCACTTAAGAGAGCATAAAGGTAATATGTCTTTCACTTACCTGATTATAATAATGGATAACGGCTCGAATTGAAGAATCGGAGAGCTGAGTTCGAATTTCAATTGAATCCATTAAATTCACTTACGTGCCCTTCACTTCTCCCCACACCCAGGTATGGGTAAATAGCAGGACTGCCTTGGATGGTCCAGGAGAAGGACAGCTCTGAATTCAGAACCTGCGGAGCGTCGTTTGGGGACCTTGTGTCACACGGTGCACCAGGTCTCCGGATTCCGCCCTTCAAAAAATGTGGTTGGTTCTGCACAAATTCTTCACCACTATAATCAAATCATATCTGCAGTTGTCTGGCTGCCAGTTCCTAGTAACTTAGTTACTTGACCCTGGTATGTCGATAAAATGACGGGATAGTCCAGCATATATAAATAAATATATATATATATATATATATATATATATATATATATATATAAAATTAAAACGTTATTCCTTCAAACGTTATAATAGTAAGTAAATTCTTATTTGAAATAGTCTATTTTAAATAAGATGTGTTCACTATAGTAACGTTTGAAGTAATAAATATGTCGGACTAAAAATAAATCCATTAATTCTTTTTTAAATAACAGCTTTTTCCAACTTATTGTTATGTGCTGTTTTGCTTATTTTCTCAAGGTCTTTCATTAAAGTTCTTACCAGTTTTTGTCGATATATTTTGGGATTTCTTCCCAAAATCTTTTTTTTTTTTTTTCAGAAAATTACAATTAAACATGACTTTTGTCGTATTTCTTTTTATGTTGAGACCTACATTGTGATTTTCCTTGTTTAAATCATTTAGCAGTTCTTGGAGTTCATTAGATGATTTTAAATGATTTAAATCATTTAGCAGTTCTTGGAGTTCATTAGATGATTTTGTTGTCAGCAAATCGTTTCAATGGTTTAAATATTATCCTGTATCTACATCTCATTACTTTTAAGTTCTCTTTTGAAAGATAAATATTTTGCATGAATTCAACTTATTTTGTTTCTCTTCTTTTGAAAACATCGATGTCTGTTATGATGAACCGAATTATTGGAATAGAGTTATCGTATATAGTCTTAGTTATTTTTATGTATAAGTAAATAACTCCTTGATTTGAACCCATTTCGTCAGTGGCTTTATTAACTTGCTTGGAGGGAAATGGTTAAAAAATAAAATCAAGGAACCCTAACCCAAGGATCAAGGAACTAATTAATATGAGAAGTGATTAAATAACAAAAAATAGGGAAGAAAAGATAACAAACGGAGTAAAAGGTTTGTTGTAATGGAATGTCCCACACTCCCTATCGGCTATGTGAACTGACTATATCAGTAGCTATGTTTAGTGGACACAGGATATACATGGGGGCTTGCTTCAAGAATTAGCTAGAGATTCGTCTCCAGCTAAGTTGGTCGAACGCTCTGACTTCGGACGGAGAGAAACACAGACGAGGCGGTGCCAAAGGGCAGAGTCTCGTCTGGGGTGGTAGACAGCTACCCGACTCCGTTTTTTACGATGTCTACGGGGAATTTTTACCCGAGCCTACGGGCTCGGATACCCCACATTAAATTCGGCCTTGTGCCACATCTGACCGCGTGAGCGGTTGATAAAATATCCTTGCTCGGCCATTAGTTGGAGATTCGTTTCCAGCTAAGCTAGAATTTTTGCCCGAGCCTACGGGCTTGGTTTTACCCCGCATTAAATAACGGCCTTGTGCCACATCCTGCCTCGCGGGGAGGTAAGTTAAATAACCTTGCTTCAGGAATTAGTAGCCTGCCATCCGATTCCCTCTCTTTCAGTAGTGTATTCTCTTTAACAATAACCCTATCAGCTTTCATCTACGCGCGTATTGCTGTTCCTTCACTCGAGTATAACCTTTGTATGTTTGTAACCTCTTTAAGGATACAACAAGGTTGCTGATTCTTTCGATCAACATTGCTGTTGTCTTGAGAAAATATGTACTTGTGTATGAAAGTTTTTCTCTTGAAATAGATGTTAAATGTAAAAAGGAAAAATGCAGATGACCAGTTAGCACTTCTGCATGAAGAAGGCGGGGATCCTAACAGTCGAAACGAAACGCGAAAAAAGACAGGTGACAATTTTAGGCCTGATCATAATGTACGTACACTTACACATGTACACACGTACATAGGTATATAGGTGCACATATTCTGAGGTATACGTACACAGTAACGCCGAAGCGCATACACATATCTACATATGGTGGCAAATAGGAGGAGAAATGTGATTCTTGTCTGCATTAAATTTCCTTTGCCCATGGGAATCAGAAATCTCTTTATCACGTTTTCTTATTTTAAATTTCAACAAACTTTACTCACCCTCGTTTCTACCTGAGCCCGGGTTTCGTTTGCGTCAAACATTCTGGCCGCAGGTGTTATTCACAATTCAAAAGAAACCCATCTGTTTCAGTTTCAAAAATATATTTTCAAAATGCTAATTGCCTTCGAAATTTTTCTCTTTTTTTCTTCTCCTTCCACATTTTTATACTTATTCATTCGTTCTTTTCGTACTGTTATTCTTTCTCGTTCTTCTTCATCTTCTTCTTCTTCCTCTTCTTCTTCTTCTTCTTTTCTTCTTCTTCTTCTTCTTCTTCTTATTATTATTATTATTATTTACCACTTCATTTCATTACCACGATTGCATCCTTTTTCGTTTTACTCGTTATTCTTCTTACACTTTTTAATCTTATTTCTACTGATCTTCCTCTGTTTCTTATCGGTCGATTTTTCGTTTTCTTCCCCCTCTTCCTCCTACTTTTTCTACTACTACTATTATCCTTATTATTAGTAGTAGTAGCAGTAATGTTTCTCTTTTCTTATTCGCCGTCCTCTTTTTGTTTTTCTTGATGTCGCCATTATTTCCATTCCTCCAGCCTCGAATCTTCTTCTTCTTCTTCTTCTTCTTCTTCTTCTTCTTCTTCTTCGTCATCATCATTTTTCAGCTTCTTTTTTGCCTTCTCGATCATCTACTCAGCATTATTATTAAACATTCAAAAAATAACATCGAATCGGATTTACAGTTGTAAAATAAGGAAATACCACAAACTGAATGCGCCACAAGAAAAATATAAATATTGATGGCCGCGTAAAGAAGAAGTTGAGAACTTTGTGGAAGATCGGCAAACGTGCAGAGGACATAAAGCGTCAAGAAAGAAAAAAAAATCTATGTTTGCCATCGAAACCGCCAATTATATACAAAATATAAATAGGCCTTACCGGAGGCGGCGGAGAAGTTGATTCGCACGTCATCACATATCCATTTAGACGTTATACAGCAGTGATATATATATATATATATATATATATATATATATATATATATATATATATATATATATGTATCGAGAGAGAGAAAGAGAGAAAGAGAGAGAGATACACAAGTGGGCGATGAAAATTTCTCAACCTGATCCACTACCCAAATAATTATTTCACTAACTACACATCAGATTTCTGATTTCGAGAAGTGGATCGTACCGAAAAAATTACCCCACCCGATCGATCCATCTCTCTCTCTCTCTCTCTCTCTCCCCATATATATATATATATATATATATATATATATATATATATATATATATATATATATATATATATATATATATGTTGTTTGTGTGTGTGTTAAGGTTATTTACGTCCGTAACAGGTTTGAATGGGAATAAGAAGATTGTGTTGAGACAGTTTTCTATGTGATAGTTTTCTATTGATAAGCGATATTTTAAATCTTTTCAAATTTTTGACTTGGTTTCAAACGCCGACTAATGGTGCTAAGACTGGCGCAATTATGTGAGCCAACCGGCAAACACTGGAAGATATTTTATGCTCAAGAGTGACATTCGATAAAAAGACAGAAAGTAAGATAAAGAGGAAAACAAATAAAGAAAAAAAAACGATGATCAAATGTTTGAATTTGAAGAAAAATATGTCACCAAAAGAGAAAAATTCACAAGTCTTCATTTATCGATGAAAAATTCGGTTGTTCAACAAAAAAACACGATTGACCAATCAGAATAAATCAAACATTTACAGTTGGGCTTTAAGTTTTCATTGTAGGATTATTCAATTGCATATGATCTATTGAAAAACGTTGTTTCAACGGGAGAATGACTCCTTTATACAGCTGTAACTTGCACAACAATGTTTTACATTTTTGCGATATCTTCCAAGTTATATGTGCCATATCATTTCAGAATTGGTCTCCAAGTTTTGCTAGTTAATCAAAATCGTTCATGTTTAGTCATTCATATGTTGATAATCAGTTGTGGATGTTTTTTGCGAGGAAAGTAATTGGAATCTGGTTGAAATTAATGTTATAAGTGACACTCTTTTTCAAAAATGCTCAATATCAAATAGATTTGGTGGCAATACAACATAAAATTCTCTCATATGAACACAATTTTTGCCATATTTTGGCTGCATTTTTATACTTGACCCCACAGTTTTGAATAACGTTAACAAAAATGTCCGAGAACATTTTTCTCCTTTTAGCAATAAGTTGGAAAATATAAAACAATTTAACTCTGCAAAATGCAAGAAAAATATTTTCGGGAAAATACAAAGACTTACTCAGTTCTTTTCCTACATTAAAGTGATTAATTCCCACTTTTGACACCATATGTCACCAAATATCAGTTTTTTGACACAAATTCCTTTGCATTTTTCTTTTATAATCAGTTCACTCCAAGTAAGGCAATAAAGCCACTAAGACACAGGGGTTATTGAGTGTGCGAAAATATTAGAAAAATGAAATATTAATAACGAGGGAGAACAATAAAAGAAGAAGAGACAGTAGATAACGATTGACATTGCATTTAAATTTTTGAAGAACAAAGTTAGCTGAGAAGCAAGAAGCAGGAGAGAGTCCCACGAGCAAGAAGTACGAGAAAATAAACGAGAAAATAAACTGTTAACATCGGACTTATGGTTACACCTAGCCAATGCAACTGTAGAATTGTTGCCAATCTAGTATTGCGCTTAAATTAGTAAAGTCTACGTACCATAGACGAGAGTTCATTAGAACAAATACCATGAATGTATTTATAGAAAAGATACAGAGAAGCCATGTTAGGACGGTGGGGGAAGTAACTGAAGCGGAGATGACAGTTCAGGACTAATAACATTTTAATTTTATCAAGAATCTAAATATATATCAGTGGCACTTGACCAGATGTGGCAGCAATATTCGAATCATGGACGAATGGTAGACTTATAAATATGTAAAATAGATTCTGAAGAGAAAAATTCTCTTGCATGACTCAATGAACCAACTGTCTTAGCAGCAGACTCAGCAATTAGTTCAACATAATCTTTCCATTTCATGTCAGCAGAGAAGCATTTATCAGAAAATCATGATCTAGACCTTATTCTTCTTGTGGTACGGATTACATTTTTGGTACTGACAATCAACAAAATAGTAGTATAAATATGTTTAGCTTCCTTAGCAAAAGGTCTCATTACACTAGAAAGGGATCTGTGAGATCATCTTGCTAACAAGTGACATCGCAAAATGGACGCTGAACCATCGCTCTACGGCTGGCACTCAAATAAGCAATGAAACTAAAAAGGTGAAGTGGGAAATCACGAAATTAAAGATCGAAAGAAAAAGCATAAATGCATGGTGAATGGAGTAGTTATATATTTCCCGATTGTCATTGATTGAGTTCAAATAAAAGAAAAACTGATTTTGTAAGATGACTTCTCACGCAGAACATTCTTCTGATTCCGCGTTGACAGTGTCTAAAAATAATACAAAATAGAATTTATCTATATTTCTGAGATGAGGTATTATGTACACTATTTACATTATTCGGACTATTGTCCTCATCTTTGTCGCCATTGTATTCATATGGAGAGAAAAGGGAGATCACCCACTCTGTGGGATCAATTTGAGATCATAGACAAAGAACACCATTGGAAAATTCGTAAACTTAAGGAATCAGCACCTATGCTAGGCCACAAAAATCTCCTGAGCCGACCAAGCATAGAAATGAATACAATAGGGGAACCAGTAATAAGGATTGCCAGAGAAAATCGATAATAACAACAAAAATTGCAATATGAGCTCTGATAAAAACATGTAATGATAACAGCAAAAATTGCAATATGAGCATTGGTAAAAATGGTTGCTGAAGACATTAGGTTTATAATACCCAGAAGTTCATACTCAGATGTCCTCAAGGACACATGTCACAGTGGATAAAGGCGTTGGTTACATCTAGTGACAGAACCTAAAGAGTGTTAAAGCAATGGAGAACTTGGAGAGGGGAATTAACAGGAGATAACTGATAACTGACATCCATTAAACATGGCACGTGGAACTAGAACAGTCTACCCCAGTGAGCGAAATAAAGGGTTCAGTTCAACATTCCGACCACCTGAAGAAGGCCGGAGGGCACAACGGAAGAAACGTTGTAATAAATATGGCGAAAAATATGAGGACAATAGTCCGAATAATATAAATAGTGAAAATAAAATTTTCTACACTGTCTTTTATTTTAAGGACCTCAAATTTTAAAGATAGAGAGAAGATGGAAGTGAACGAGAAATAGAGAGAGAGACAGAAGAAAGAGAATAAAAATGAATGAAAAGAAAGAAAGAAAGAAACAAAATACATAAGGCAGAAGAAAGAGAGAGAGAGGAAAAAGAAAAGTGAATAAAAAGAAAAAAATGGGGAAAGAGAAAGTATACAAAAGAGAAAAGATAGAAGGGAAAATGGATCAAATGTAAAGAAAAAGAGAGAGACACGAAAACAGAAAGAGAAAGAAGGGGAGCGAAGTTGTTAAGAAGGAAAGAAGAGAAAAAAAATCACGAGAAAAAATGAAAGAAATAGTTGAAAAATAAAGGGAAAACATTTGTAAATATGAAAATCAGTGAGTGTATCTAAAAAACAAAAAACAAAAAAAAGAATAGACAATTAACGCCAAAAATAGAAAAAATAATTTAAAAAATAAAATAATGAAACCTAAGAAGAAAAAAAGGTAAGGACAAATATGTGACCTGAGGAAAGCATTATCGAAATTAAAAAAGATAGGTGTTGTTTTCTGAGAGACAATTTAAAGAAAGATGGAAGAAAGAGAGAAAAGTTTGGACACAAGAAAAGGGTTATTATCTGTTGGAAATAACCCTAAACCTGACTTGTACCTAGGCGGATTAGAGAGTTCCCAGGGAGTAAGAAGTACATGTGATTATTCCCCGGCTTTCTTCTCTGTAAATTATCGTGGCATACCAGAAACAAGAACTTTGTGCCAAGTTTGATATATCAAAGAGCCAGTAAAATGGGGATTTATTCTTTCACGAGAGTAATAATACGAAGCGAATATTACGAACAAAACAAAGAATTCAAACTACTTTCGTCGATTACTTTAT